TGGTACTCTATCCACTGTGCCACCTAGCTGCCCCCGAGGGTGATAATTTTTATTGGTGGAGGAAGTTCTCACACTGGGAATTCCCCACACCAAAGACATAATAATAACGTGCATTTATACAGCACTTTGAAGTCTGCAAAGCGATCTCATTTGACTATTGCAACAACTTTGGGAAGCAGCTGATACTGTTATTCCAGTCTTACAGAAGTGGGTGATACAGTGGATAGAGCGCCAGGCCTGGAGTCAGGAAGACTCACCTTCCAGAGTTCAAATCTAGTCATAGACACTGGTTAGCTGTGTGGCCCTGGACAAGTCATTTCACCCTGTTGGCCTCAGTTTCCTCAACTGTAAAACGAACTAGAGAGGAGAGGGCAAATCACTCCAGTATCTTTGCCAAGAAGACCCCAAATGGGGTCATGGGGAGTTGGGTACAACTGAGAAAAGACTGAACAGCAACACAAAAGCTGAAACCGAGGTAAGCAGAGGTTAAGTGATTGCCTGGAGGCACACAGCTAACCAGTGTTTGAGGCTGGATTTGAATCCGGGATTTCCTGACTCCAGGCCCAGCACTCTCTGTGCTAGGCCACCTAAGAACCCACTGTGTGCAAAGACCTACTATGGTAGGCACCGTGGGAGGCCCTAGTCTTTATTTGGAAAGAACTTACATTTCACTGGGGATCTCAAGTGTATATAGAAGGATTCACTTAAAAATGATAGAGCCGGCTGTCCATTCCTATGTCAATGAGGGCAGGCAGGAGGCTCCCGGGTACAGCCCAGGATGGCTTCCCAGACGGTTCAGTGCTGATTTTGTTTGTAGGAGGGGGATGCCCATGGATCGGCCCAAGGCAAGAGGACAGGCCAAGCGGAATGGCTAGCAGGTACCAAAGACAGCAATGAGTCAGTCCTGATATGGGATGAGAGGACGATTAATAATAATAATAATAATAATAATAATAAAGTAGTAGTAGTATTAACAGTAATAGCAGCAGCGGCTAGAATTTAAATAGTGCTTTCAGGTTTGAAAAGCACTTTACAAATATCATCTCCTTTGATCCTTGCAGCAGCTCCAGGAGGTAGGTGCTATTATCATCCCCATTTTGCAGATTTGGAAACTGAGGCAGACAGAGGTCAAATGACTGACCCAGAGCTAGGAAATGTCTGAGGTGAGGTCTTCCTGACTCCAGACCCAGTGCTGTCTACACCAAGTTGCATCTAGTTTGACTAGAGTAGAGTTGGCCAGGATTGGGAAGATGGAGTATGCAGCATTTGATTTAATTCAAAGGCTTATTAAGCACCTACAGTATACTGCTAGACATTAGGGAAATAAGGTGGGATGCAGCGCCCATCTCTCCATGCAGTGAGGTTGCTGGGACATGAGTGACTAGTTGAGATTCTATATCTAATCAAAATCAGGAACCTTCAAAACAGATTCTCAAGCACCCAAAAGGGGTGGTGGTGATGGGGATGAGAAAATTGGTATTTCAGAAAATTATTCTCCCCAACTCTATGTGCAAGAGGGATTGGTCTGGGGAGTGACTGGCCCATATAGAGTTAGAAAGGGCACGGTGGCCATCTAGCTCCCTCCCCCTCAGCAGGGTGCCTGACCAATGGTTATCTAGTCTCTGCATGAATTTCTCCAAGAAGGAGGGACCTACCTACCCGCCTCTAGGGGCAGGCCAGTCCAACTTAGGATGGCTTTCATCGATATCCCTCCCATTGACTCCAATTGGAACTTCAACCCATGGTTCTGCCCTCTGGGGCCAAGCAGAAAAAGAGGGAATCTGTCTTCCTCATGGAAATACTTGAAGACAGCTATAGTGTCCCCCCTTCCTCTCATTCACCACCACTGAGTGTCCTCATTTCCAGCTTAACCTCCCGATTCCCTTAACTGATCCTTTCATGACATGGGCCCAAGCCCATCTCCATCTTGCTTTTCCCCCCTCTGGACACTGGACGCTCCAGCTTATCAGCGGCCTTCCTAAAGTCGAGCCCAATCAGGAATCAAAAGGAAGGGAGGGAGGCAAGTGAAGAATGAGGAAGACCCATTGCCAGATGATGGAGATGACGAAGGATGAGGCAGAGATCTCTCTCAGGGGGAGAGTCTGAGGGGCCAGGAAGAGGCGGTCCAGGGAAGTTAGAAAGCTGCTCTAGAAATGTGTTGGGGGTGGAACCAAAAAGAAGAAATGAAGAGCGCCCCCATTCCGGTGCCCTGGGGCAGATGAGAGGGAGCCTGGCAGAAATGGCGGCTCCTCATCCTCCCCAGAATCAAAGATAGAATCCTCTGCTTGGCGTTCAAAGCCCTTCAGAATCTGCCCCCTCCTATCTTTCCAGGCTTACTCTTATTTTTATTCTTTTTTATATTGTATGTTGTATTTTACCTTATTATTCCTCTTATTTCCACCCTACTTTCCTTTGACCCGGTGACCTTGGCCTCCTGGCTGTTCCTAATACAAGACACTGTCTCCCGACTCTAGGCACTTCCCGTGGTCGTTCCTCGTCCCCCTCATCTCCACTTCCTGGAGTCCTTCAAATCCCAGCTAAAATCCCCCTCTTGCCAAGGAGCTGTTCCTGGTCCCCTCATTCCTGTCCTGTCCCTCTATTGATTTATTATCTCCAATTCAGCCTGTCTCCTGTCTGCCCACAGTTATTTCCACGCTGTCTCTCCAATTAGAGAGCTCTATCTCATCTTCATTTTCTATCTCATCTTCAGAACAGTGCCTACCACATAGTAAAAATAAATGCTCATTGGTTAACTGGCTTTAAAAAATTCTTAGGTCATTTAGAGCCGGAAAAGATCTTAGGCTTTCCCCCATATTTTGTCTGGTGCTGTCTGACCACCCAAGTGGAGATATTCTGCAGACAAGTGGAGATAAGGACCCAGAGAGGGAGACTGTGAGAGGTGGATTTGGACATCCCTCTGCAGATGGAGATTTCTGCCCATTGTTATTCAATAAGCCAATCCTTGAAGACTGTGATCTCATCAGTGTGGTCTTCACGGATCAAAATCCATCCATGCTAACCCATCCTGGGTGACTGGTCTGTGTCCTCCTACAAATTCTCCACAGGCTCTGGGAGCCTCCTCGTGTTCTGGAGGTGGTGAGGTTACTGATGGAACATACTCCCTGGACTTTTCTATTACTAGTCACAAAGTTCTTGGAGAGAATCCTTTGCATTCTTTCACCTGCAGGATTCTTTATTTGTAACCCATTGATGGGGGCTCTTCCTTACCACATTCCTTTCCACTTGGCAAGCCTTTCTAATCCCTCTGGGAAAATGGAGTTCCAACTGGAACTGAGGAGTGCCCAGAGTTCTTCAGACACGGACATTTTTGACATATGAGGTAGGAATAAAGAATAAGGGGTGGGAAATTTGAATTACTTCACTTTACACTGTTGACTTCTATATTCTGGATCCTTTTTCCTCTCTGGACTTTCATGATACTTCTCTCTCCTGGTTCACCTCCTACCTTTGTTGTTATTGTTTTTCTTTGGAGGTAATCGGGATTAAGTGACTTGCCCAGGGTCACACAGCTAGTAAGTGTCGGAGGCCCCATTTGAACTCAGGTCCTACAGACTCCAGGGTCGGTGCTCTATCCACTGTGCCACCTAGCTGCCCCCTACCTCCTTCCTACTTTTGTGACTGCTCCTTCTCTGTCACATAATCCACATCACACCCCCTAATTAGGGCTATTCCCCAAAGTTCTGTGCTAGACCTTCTCCTTTCCCTCTAAATGCTCTCTTGTCATGCCCTCAGTGGGACACCTAGATGCACACAGCCAACCCCAGGCTCCGCATCACCTTACTGGACATTTTAAACTAGACGGGCTGGGGAGTGATGTGGTCAGACCTAAGCTTTGGGAAAATCCCTTTGGCAGAGTGGGGACTGCTAGGGGATTATTGTATTGTTCAGGCAAGAGGCGCTGGGGGCCTGACCTAGGGCTGTGGGATGGGGCCTGACCTAGGGCTG